GCGAGGGCCAACACGCTTTGGATATGACAGTGACATCCGCACCAGTATCAACCAGGAAGGGGATTTTAATAGTGGTATCATCTGCAATGCCATAGAGGGAACAGGTTCCCCACACCGTGGGTGGGCGGTCACATTTTACTGCCAAGGCCACGCTAGGGCCTCTGCCCGTGGGGGTAAATCCTGTGGGTTTTGGGACCTGGATGGGTTTGGCTGTGCCACCGGGAGAGCCACAGGGGCTGCTGCCTCCTGGGAAGGTGTCAGATTCAAAGGCGTTCCATGCCCTGTAACTACGTTCATATGTGGCCGCCTCACGTTCCAAGTGGGAGGGGGCTGGGTGCAGCCAGGGCAGTTGGATTGCCCCCTCCCCTTCGCTTTTCCCTGATTTTTAGATCTACAGTCCTTAGCAAAGTGCCCTTTTTTCCCACATGCAAAACACGGCCCTCTAGGTCTGTTTTGAGGAGGGGGACGCATTGTTGTTGCCGGACTCCCGAGCTGGGGGCAGTTTACTGCCACATGTCCTGGCTGGCCACATTTTAAACACACCATTACATTAGCTATTGCTGCTTGAACAGCCAGTCGAATTGGGGCAAAATGCTCTTCTTTTGTGACATGCTTAATCATGTCTGCGATACTCGCTGCAGCTGGCAAGGATCGCAGAATGTCCTTGGTTGCTGAATTACATCGCTGGTGTAAACAATCCGCAAGGACTGGGCCCTTTGCCTCCGGGGGGAGGGAGGAGGAATCAATCGCCGCTTGAAGACGGTCTACAAACCGTGTGAAAGTTTCACTTTCAGCCTGTTTGATGGTAAACCACGGGGATGGCTTAGCAATGACTGCTGAGGCCGTGCGAATGGCCTCTCTAGCAGCCCTAGTGGTTGCTTTAACCTCATGGGGTCGCATACCTTCTGCCTGTGCTCGTGGGGTGATCATAGCAGGGTCAACACCCATTAACCGTTGCAAGCTAGAACCATGCAGGGGATGGTCTGGACCAGTTACTGATGCAAGCTGTTCCGCACAATTATCCTCCCATTCCTGTTTAAAAACAATCATGCCTGCCCCATCAAAAATCATCCTACAGATTTGCTTAATATCAAACGGAAGCAGGTCATCTCCCCCAAAAAGACCATCTATCAGGGTGGAAACCATGGCAGAATTAAGTCCTTTGTCTGCTATAGCTTTAGTAATCGCTTGTATGTCGTTCGGATTTATTGGAGAATAAATCCTTCTGTCTCCCTCCATAATTTCAACTGGGGATGCTGGTGAAGCCGACCTAGCCCATTCTGCACAAGTAGCTCTAATTTCCTTCCAGTCCGTGAGAGGGGTTAGCTTTTTCTGTGGCTTAGATTTACTTTTATTTTCATTTACAATTAAATATGCATCCTTTTTCTCTTTCTCCGTACTCAATTCAGTCGCATCCCGTCCCCCCCTCTCTCGCCGCTCGCCTCTCTCCCTGCGCTGGCCTTGGAACTCCCCCGGGAGCGTGGGAGTGTCTGGCTCAGTGTCCGAGCTGGACTGACAGGGCACTTCTGGCTGTCTCTTGGCCGGGCTGCGGCCCCGTCCCCCTCTCTCGCGGGCACCCGACTGACCGCTCCTCCTCTCTCTGGCACAGACAGACCGCTCCCTCCCCGTGCGCTCACCCCGACCCCTGGTCGGGGCATGGGACCTACCTAAGACTTTTTTCAAGCGACCACCAGGACTGGCACTGCCTCTCAACTCCCCCTCCTCCTCCTCCTGGCTCGAGCTTGCCGTTTCATCCACGCTGTCCCCCCCGCCCGAGCTCTCACTCTCGCTTGCACAGCTCTCTTTGCACGAACTTTTCCTTTCATCCCGCTGGCATTCACCACCCCTCCCCCCGCAGATTCCTTTCCTCCCACCATCGACCTTCACTGCTCGCTTACTCCCGGCGGCGTTATCATCTACACCTCGCCTTTCTCTTTGTTTTCGGGGGCCGTCTCGAGATCCATAGGGTGGTGGCTCATCCCTAATCCCTTCAAACTCCGCGTTTTTCCTAACTTTCCTAGCTTCCTGCGCCAACTCTTTCCACACACGACTCTCTCCACCGCTCCGCTCCTGCTCCCCCGCGCACGAGTCAGGGTTAGAAGATTGAGGGGAACTATTACCCTCTTGTGTGCGCTGTGGCACAGCAGCATCATTAGAGCTTGGGAGGGGAGGGGTTTGTGTAGCTGCCCCAATTCCCAGCTTAGGCACCTCTCGTAGGCATTTTTCAGCCGCTTTCCAAGTTTCCTGTTCTGACCTTGCTTTTCGCAAGGCTTGAACAACTTTCCCCCACGCTTTAAGGTGGGAATCGCGTCCTGAAGACATCGTTTCCTCAGCCAACGCCTTGGTACATTTATCCCACACTTCGGGGTGGAGGATATCCACCGCCTCGCCAATGACCCCGATTTGCAAAAGCCTTGCGACAGCAAGAGTAAAATCTTTGGCCTTGCAATCGATACCCCACTGATTATAAACCTCAGATACGACCTTCACAAGGGATTCCATCCTCCTCGTTGGTCCGGGAGCGTCCTCCCCGCTTGGCGAGTCCAGCTGCCAAGCCGTCCTTCACCCGAGCTCAGGAGAAATCCCGTCCCGGTGCTTGGGGAATCTTCTGGGGGTTTCGGCACCACTTGCGAGCGCGGCGACCTGGTTCAGGAAAGACACGGCGACCCCCTCTTGGCCGCTCGGGCCACCAACTTGGCAGACACCAATTTGGTGGACGGTAAATGGCGTTTATTAGCTTGTAACACGGCCTTTTATAATGTTTAGTTACATTGGCACTTCCGTCCGCTTACCTTATCCCCTAGCTACTATTGGCTATCAGGCATTGGAGGGGGGTGGTCCCTGCCTTCCCGTACATCCCGAAATCTTCCGAACGCCAGGCCCTGTCTGCCCACACCCTTCCAGGGATAATTCGTGTTATAAGTTACTAGCGGCAATTTAAGAAAGTTGAGAAGGCAAATGCCAAATAACAAGCCGATTTATTAGTAAGCGGTAAATCACGGAGGAAGGTTTCTCCTTTTTCTCTGTGTTCGGCAGATGACCCCAGCTTGGAATATGCGCATTTAAAAGGTATCCTCCTCCCCTCCCAGGCTTATCGCATTCCTTTTGATTTCTTGTTTAGGGGGAGCCTCTCCGTGTCTCCAGAACTGTCGGTTTCGGATGATGTTATCAGGGCCCTGTAAATTACAGGCTCAGACTGCCCCCTCCTTCCACCATCAACCTTGGGAACAAACAGCATTCCACAGTTACGTGGGGAATGCATATTTTTACTAAGCTTAAAAAACCCTTTAAAATGGATATATGTTGCCTTAACAGCCAGGAGAGAAATACAGATAGAAATCGCACATCCATAGCAGGAAGTGTTAATAAGCTTAACAAAAACAATCTAAAAATATATATATATAGTTTATCACAATTTGGGAGCACGAGGCCCTCTCACCACAAGGAGGTGTTAAGTGCCCTTTAGTGGCCCGAACTCCCGAAAGCCTTTATAAAACTCGTGGGATCTGTCAATTCCTCCTGGTTTTTCCTCATCCTCGTGGCTCCTCCACAGTGGGGACGCGAGATCCCGGGGCTGGTTCTGCTCCCAAGGTGCCGGATGTGGCACCCCCCGAGTCCTGCTGAGGCTCCTTGTCCTGGATCCAGCTCGGAAGGGATATCTGGGGGGTGTTCCAGAGCTGCACTTCCATCCCCTGGCACAGAGTCATGGAATTCTGGGATGGGTTGGGATGGAGGGACTCACAGACCCCAGAGACAGGGACACCTTCTGCTGTCGCAGGGTGCTCCAACCTGCCCTTGGACACTGCCAGGGATCCAGGGGCAGCCACAGCTTCTCTGGGAATTCCAGCCCAGCCCCTCCCCACCCTCCCAGCCAGGAATCCCTTCCCAATATCCCACCTAACCCTGGGAAGCCATTCCCTGTGTCCTGTCCCTCCATCCCTTGTCCCCAGTCCCTCTCCAGCTCTCCTGGAGCCCCTTTAGGCCCTGGAAGGGTCTCCCTGAATCCTTCCCTTCTCCAGGTGAACATTCCTGGCTCCATCCCCGGGGTCTGACCTCGGCTCTGGAGTTAAATTTGGGCACCAGGGATTGCATCCCCTGGGGAAGAACCAAGAGAGGGGACAGAGCGGGGACACTGGGATGGGGACATTTCTCTCCAGTTCCCATCAGACGATCCCGATCGGCTCTCCCGGGGCACATCCAGCACCTCCCAGTGCCCACGGCCGGTACCGGGGGCTGCCGGGGGCTCTCCCCTCAGGCTGAGACCAAGGGCCACCCGGTACCAGGCGGGCCATGAGTTTGACTCATTTTATCAGGTTTTATCCCACTTTATCTGGGTTTATCCCGTTTTATCCATTACGGCCCTGCCCGTGCTTTGGACCTTCTGGAGGTCTCCGGTGCTGCCGCCTCCAGTCCCAGCACCGACCCAGCGGCGCTGAGGCCGCAGTAGCCGAGCCGGGGTCCATCCGAGATCCCCCGGGTATCCCCGAACCCGCGGGGTGTCCCACGGGGACCCCTCGGGCCGGTCCCGGCCCCGGCAGCAGCACCCGCGCCTGGGCGACGCCATCTTGCCCCCGCTGCGGTCACATGACCCCCTTCTCTCGAACTCTCGCGATACCTTTCCCCCGGGATGTTCCTCCCCCCCCTCCGCGTTTCCCGCGCGCGCGCCGCCGGAGCTCTCGCGAGAGCCGCGCGCGGAGCCGGGGAGGACAAGATGGCGGCCACAACGCCGATGGCGCTGGTGAGGGAGCGGCGGGGCCGGGGCGGCTCGGGGGGGGCTC